AAGTCTTTGCCTGCAGCAGTGTCTTTTCTTGTGTTATGTTCTAGAAATGTTCAGTTTAGGGTCACTCTAAGGGATTCTCCATCACATGTGAGTTTGGGTTGGGCTCATCTTGTGCGTGGACATGGCCAGTTGACCCAGCATCCTGTGTGTCTTCCGCACTGACGAGCTGTCCCTGCGTCCCTGTCGGCGTCAGCCAGCTTTGCGGCCTCAGTTGTAAGTGCCTTTTTGTCCTCACTGCACACCTCATTGCTGTGTCAAAGCAGCACATCTGATTCTTCCAACTCTGGCCTTTTTTTCCAGTCATGTTTAGCTATTATAGTTCCTGTTTCCATGTAAATTTTAGGAGCATCTTTATTTTCTATAAAAATAAACCTATTGGAATTTTTAATGAGTTTGTTTTAACATGTATTTGAAGAGAATTTAGCTTATGAAACCATTACATTTCCACAATTATTTAGCTTTTCTTTGATTTCATTAGTGTTTTGTAATTGGTAGGATATACAGTCTATATGTTCTGGTATATGGTTAGATTTGTATCTATTTGGTTTTTGTTTTATTTTATGATCCTGGAAATTGAACCCAAGGGTCTCACGCATGCTAGGCAAGCACTAACCACTGAGCTACATCATCTTTCTTCTTCAAATAGGCAATCTTCCCCTTTTCTATTCTCATATGAATGTCTTTTATTTCTCATTGCATTGTTTAGGATCTGCAGTGTAGTGCTGAATGGAAGTGGTAAAGCCAGGTGTACTAGTGCACCCTCCAGCTACTCAGGAAACTGAGGCAGAAAGATTGCAATTTGAAGGCCATCCTGGACAATTTAGATTCTGTCTCAAGATAATTTTTTTTAAATTGTACTATGAAGGGAGCTCATGACCTTGTGCTTGTAGGACAGTGAGCTATATTCCTGGCCTCAAAATAAAATTTTAAAAGGGGCTGAAGATGTAACTCAGCATTCCTGGGTTAAATCCCTAGTACTGGGGTAGGGCAGTAAGTAGTTGAGAGCTGACACTTGCTTTTTTCCCATGTCTGTAAGTTTTAAGAATGTTGTTAACAGACCAAAAAAAAAAAAAAAAAAAAAAAAGCACTAGGGGCTGGGGATTTAGCTCAGCGGCATAAGTGCCTGCCTTGCAAGCAGGCAGTCGTGTGTTCGATCCCCGGTACCAGGAAAAAGACAAAAAAAAAAGAATGTTGTTAACAATAGGTTTCATATCACTTTACCAGGTTGAAGAAATTCCTAATTGTCTGAGACATTTTTTGTGTATGTGAAATATCTGAGGTTCTGTTTGATGGGTCAGAGTTGCCCAGATTCATTGCTTCAGATTCTGGCCAACTGGAACTGCTTAGAAGGGAATAAATACCTTTACTTTAGGCAAACTCTAACTCTACCCTATCGTAATGGGCATCTCAGGAGCTAAGATGAGTGTTCATGGTCAAATGATATGCATTCCTTGTCATGATGATGATCAGTGACCCTGTGTTCCCTTGATTAACGTTGTTCGCTTTTGAGAGAATCAAAATTTTATGTGTGAATTGAAGCATTTTTGTAAGGAAGCTCTGCATATTGATTAAAAACACAGAATTATCACCTGACCAGAATCTGAGATACCTGTTGTTTTTTGTTGTTGTTGTTTTGTTTTTAGCTTTTACAGTTTGTACATCCTCCTGCGAAAAAGGTGCATCCCCGCAGGCAGGCACTGCAGTCTGTACTCGTTGGCTTTTTTGCCAACACCAACGTTAGCCTTTGCGGTGCCCCTGACTTTCTTCACTCTGTTCTTGAGCTCCTTCTACTACTTTCTTGAGGTCTTTTTCTTCTCATACAGGCCTCGCAAGTCTATGCTTGGGTTCATTTTTCTTTGTATAATCTGAGGAATTGTAAACCATGCCACCACCAAAATGGGTTCTGAATCCAAACATGAAAATGACATCTGGGGTTGTCTTGCACATTTTGGCAAGTTTTTCCTGAATTTCTGTCTTAGGCACTGTTGCTTTCCCAGGTTGAAGGTCGTCAGTAACCGTTTGCTTCCTCGGAGGAGTCAGTCATGAACTTCCAGGTCCGGATGGTTACTGTGTCATTCATGATGGCAGCAGATCCTCAGACAGCCAGGGAGGAAAAAAGTGAAGTACATGTTTTTGAGGAACTACAATAAGCTTTTCCCTTTGTAAAAATGGCCAAGGAGGCCACTCAGATTGACACTGATGGATGTGAACACAATACTGTTAATGTTTGAGAAATGCACTTTTCAGAGGTGTCAGCATGTGTTCTAATATTTTCCATAAACAAATACGTTGATGTGTGGTTATAGATACATTCTATAACAAGGCTGTGCTTAAATAAAAGGTCATACAGTTGGGAGCCTTCCTCTGATGTTGGTGTTGATGTTCAAATTTTCTGATTTGGCCAGTGGAGCCTCATTTCTGTGTCCTTGTTCTGTGGCCCCTCAGTCTCTGAGCCTTGCCCTACTTTGTGACCTGTCTGGAACTTTTCTGGCTTCTATCTCTGTGGAATCTATTTAGATAAGCTGTATTGCTAGGAAAATTCTGTCCTTTCTTTCTTTTTCTTTTTGTCTTTTTGAGTCAAGGTTTCGCTATGCGGTTCAGACTGCCCTGTAGCTCACTTTGTGGCCCAAGCTGGCCTCAAACTTGCAGCCTCCACTTCTAAGTGCTGGGATTGCAGGCGTGTGCCACATGCCCCGCCCTTTGTTTCTTTAACTATTTCTTGCTCTCCACTTTTATGTCCTTCTTAGTCCAAAATAATTGTTATCTAAATGTTAGCCCTTATGTTTTTCAGCTTTTATTTCATTCTCTTGAAATGTCTTTTTTGCTAGGCATGGTGGTGCATACTTGTAATCCCAGCACTTGGGAGGCTGAGGCAGGAGGATCAGTGGGAATTCGGGGGGGAAAAAAGTCTTTTTCTTTGGAAATCCTTTTCAGTTTGTCCTTCGAAAGTGGTAATTTCTTCCCCAGTGATATCTATTATATAGTTGATTTCCTGAATTGACTTTTATTTGTATTGTTACAATGCCTTTTTTTTTTTTTTTTTTTTTTTTTGGTACTGGGGATTGTGTTACTATTTCTTACATAATATTTCTAGATGGTCTTGTTCCTGGCTCATATGTCATTAATTTTTATTTATGTATTTACTTTGTGATACTGGTATTGCACACAGGGTCTTCACATTAAACTATCTGTCAGAGTACTTTTTTTTTTTAAGATAGTAGTTTGCTAAATTGCCCAGGTGAGGCTCAAACTTGCAGTCTTTCTCCCTTAGCCTCTCAGAGTCCTGGGATTGCAGGGGTGCACAGCTGTGCCTGCAATAATTTCCATTTTATTTTTTTCCTGTTTTTTATTTTTTTCTTTTTCTTCTTTTCCTTTTTTTTGAGACATGGTCTCATTAGTAATTTAGGCTGGCCTTGTATTTACTATATTTCCGGGGCTGGCCTCAAACTTGCAGTTCAGCCCCTTGAGTGCTGGGATTACAGGCATGTACCACCACACCTAGTTGACTATTTCTCTTTCAAAATGTATTTTTTTAGATTAAGTACATGTCCTTGGACTAAGTATTAATATATCTGCTTCTGGTAGATTTTGTCATGTTGTTAGTGTTCATTTTTAAAAAGTTTGCAGTGTCTGGTTTGTTGCCCAAATGTTTCTTTTATGATCTTTCCAAGCCTGTGTATGGACAGGTGTTTTTGTTTTTGTTTTTTAATTACTGCTGTAGACTTTTGATGTCATTGCTGGTCAAAGAGAATCTGCCAGGTCAATTTTTGCCCTTAAACTTGTTGAAGTACTGTTTTTCGCTTAACAATTAGGCCTCCAAAATATGTGTGTTTGGCATAATAGTTCATCTATATTTTTGCGACATGCTTTAAAAATGGTTTTTCAGGCTTGAGTATGATATGGTGATGTACACCTATAATTCAAGCACTTTTAGAGGCTAAAGCAGGAGGATCATGAGTTTGAGCTGAGTGTGGACAACTTCGCAAAAACCTTGTCTCTCAAAACAAAAAATAAAATAAAATAAAGTAAAATAAAGACTGAGGATTTACCTCAGTGCAGAGGCTCTGGATTCAGCCTTAGTACAGAGTGAGAGACAGAGACAGAGAAAAGGAAGCTAAGTTGGTTGTTTAGGGTCCTAATAGTACTGTTTTGCTACTTGATCTTTGGTCTAAGATAGTTCCTTTTTTTTTTTTTTTTTTTTTTTTTTTTGGTACTGGGGGATCAAACTCATTACCTTGTGCTTAACAGGCAAGTGCTTATTCCATTGAGCTATAATCCTCAGCTCAGGTTCTTTATTAAAAGTCTCCTGCAGCTGGATATGGTGGCCCACACCTGTAATCCCAGCACTTGGGAGTCTGAGGCAGGAGGATAGCGGCAAGTTCAAGGTCACCCTAAATGACGTAGTAAGACTCTGTCTCAAAAGAGGAAAGGAAAAGGGAAGGAGAAAGAAAGGAAAAAAGTCTCCTACAATTATTGCCAGTTTTTCTGTCATCCAGTATTTGATCCTGGTGTTTCAAAGCATGAGTGGAAGGCTCACAAAACATTTAGAAAGCAAAAGTTATTTTCTTGCAGGGGGCTTTGGAGCGCTGTCCTACCAAAGTACAGAAATGTCTGAGGAAAAAACTACTTTCCTGCCCAGGCTTTAAGGTTGGAGTGTATTGGTAGAAAACAGGAGCTTTCTTACTTGGTCATCATCTCCATTTTAAAGGCTGCCACATTTCTCTCAAAACAGTATAGCCATGTCAGACGCAAAGTTGGCTTTGTTTTTAGTTTTTTCCTTTATGGAGTCAGTAGATTATAGGAAATGGAAACTGAATCAGTCAAGCCTGTCTTTTTGGGTGATTTCCACACAGGTTCTTGTCCCTTGCAGCTGCTGTCATGCCCCACAGGAGGCGGGCAGACTTGCTGAGCTTCCTTTCCTTGCCTACCATGTGTCTTTGTGCTGCCGCCTGGCTGTGGAGAGCTATTCATGTGCATTCTTGCTTTTACCCCTTCCCCAGCCAGAGAAACAGAACCTTGAGGGTGAGGCCCTGGCAGCAGAAGACAGTGTGCGAGCTGTCAGCATCAGCACTCTCTACCTGGTCAGCACCACGGTGGACAGAATGAGCGATGTGAGTCAGGCCAAAGCCTTTGCCCCAGACTAAGCACCCCCATCCTGGGTAACAAATGAGCCCTGTGGTTGATGATGCAGCCTCTCTAGGGCAGTGGCCTGGCAGTGTTCGACAAGCAGCAGGACACGCAAATGGACTGCCCAAACTTGAGCTCTTTGGAGGCTGTCCCCCCTACAACATACACTTGTGGCTTCTCCAGCAGTGCTAGCTGCCCTGGAAGCTGCAACTGCAGACCAGGGTCCTCTGCTTCCCCAGGTGCTCTGGCCCTACCTGCTGGAGTTCCTCACCCCTGTACGCTTCACTGCGGCCTTGACCCCACTCTGTAGGAGCCTCGTGCATTTGGCTCTGAAGAGGCAGGAGGCAGAGGCAGATACCTTGCTGGTCCAGTATGACACCCACAGTACGCAAGTGTGATCCCCATCTGAACCTGCTGTTCCTTTGCACCTGACTGCAACCTGCATCTGACCCCAACATAGCTCTGCTTTGCACCTGACTCCTGCTCCTATCCTTACCCGAGATGTGTCCCCTGAATTTGACCCCAGTCCTTCCTCTTTTCTCCCCACCTCATGACTGTTTCCCCCGTCTTTTATCCAGCAAACCTCCCATCTTCCTATGCTGTGATCACAAGACTGCTGGTAAGCATTACTGTTTCTAAGCACACAGGATACGTCACCACCCAAAGGGGGGAATGAGACCCTCATCAGGTGGCTGTGGCACCCTCCAAAGGGGTTTGAAAAATGGGCTTTCCCTTGTGCCTGAATGTTTCCTAGTGGCCAGCACGCACCTGTGTTGGGCACTTTCGTCCTTAGAGCTGTCCTGCTACATTTGCACCAGGAGGTGCTGGTGTCAACGTGGACCACCTCTGCCTCTCTCAGGTTGTATCTTCCAGCCCCTACCTGGGCAATGGGCGAGGGGCAGCCTCGCTACGTCTCCTGAAGGTTCTGCAGCAGAACATCCACCCCTTACTGGCCCAGCGATGGGAAACAACCATCCCCCTGTTGCTGGAGTATTTAGATGGTGAGGCTGGAAGGTTAATGGGGATCCATGAACCACTCAGACCTCATGTTTGCCAGCTGATGTGAACTAGGGCTGTGTAATTTAGAAAAAACAGTCTTGGCTATAGTCCAAGCAGAGGTCTGGACAGTGTAGGGCTTATGTGGGGCTCCCTGCAGATGTTGCTGGGCTAGCTGCTTCTGGAGGCTCCAGAAGATGGGGAGGTACATGGTGTGAGGCTTCCACTTGTGCATATTGGGATGGCTTGCCCAGTGGGACCCAGAACAGTAGGGCCTCTGGTCATTGCAGAGCATACTGAAGAAACATTTTCGCTGAAGGAATGGGAGGAAAAGCTGCTGATGGTGAGAGCTGGGAGAAGAGGCTGGAGCATGGTCTGGCTGCACTGAAGCATCCTCTAGGTTGGGTCAGGAGAGCATGGGAGATGGATGCCGGGGACTACATGCTCCTAGGATTGTACTGCTTGCACTGTGGTGGGGCATGGGTCCAAGAACATGGAAAGTCTTAGGGGAGGATGGCAGCTGGCCTCAGATTGCTGTGACAAGGCACCCACCCTCTAGCAGCAACACCAAACTGAAGGAATTTGGGCCACACTGGCATGGGAGCTTCCTCTTCTACCCCTGCCTGGCTCAGAGTCATCTGTGCCCGAGCCTACTGATGGCTGCCCATCCAGGGCTTGCTCTGCTGTCCACAGTCAGCTCGGAGGTCACCTGCAGACCAGCTGGCCATCCTGAGGCATGCCCAGTCTTCAGCCCCTCACTGGTGCCTCATCTGCAGTTCCTGCAGGAAACTCTGGCTGTCGTTTCTGACAATACGTGGACTTGCCAGCTGAGCCTGGAGATGTGCAAGCAGCTGCCATGTTACAATGGGACACCCCAGGAAAAGGTACAAAGGAAGGGCCAGCAGGGGGTGGTGGCATGGTCCTCAGGCTCTAGGCTCCTGAACCATGAATCTGCATCATTTTGTCTGGGGCTGTCTCCTGTGACACTGGTGGCCCTGGTAGAGACAGGAAAAATAGGGCTGTGAGCCACCTCATAGTATAAGGCAGCTGGGACTTGAGGGTGCCTGCTGCCTGCCTCTGGCTTTTAATACATGGTCCAGGATGCACACCTCCACCTACACAGGGGCCTCACCCATGCAGCTGGTGCCATGATGCTGCTGCAGCAGCACTGTGGCAACACAGGTATCCTATTAGCCAGGAGTCATGCTTGCTATGTTCTCTGTCTCTGTTGTAGAACTTCCTATATAAATGCATAGGAACTACCCTGCTTGCTGCTACAAGTAAGGAAGTGGTGAGGAAGCATCTGCAGGAGCTTCTAGAAACAGCCAGATACCATGAGGAACTGGAACATGAGGTGGGGAAGCTGGACACCAAGGGCTGGCTGGCAGTGGCCACACTGTGTCCTCTGAGGCAGCCAGCATGTGTGTGTACGTATTGCGCGCACTTAGGAATGTGTGCACATGTGCATGGATGGTGTGTTGTCTGCACAAACATGTATACATGTGGGCAGTGTTTATACCCCCACATCAAGCATGCTTTAGAGTGAAGCCTCCTCATCTCAGTGTGAGCACTTCTGTGTGTCCCCGCAGGGCCTCGCCTGTTGCTTTGGGATCTGTGCTGTCTTCCACCTTGAAGACACTCTGGCCCAGCTGGAGGACTTTGTGAAGTCTGATGTGCTCAGGAAATCCAGTGGCATCTTTAGCATTTTTAAGGTACAGAGCTCACCACCCAGGGTGGAGGTCTGCGCCTAGCAGTTTCCCTACATTTCAAGGTCCTGGTGGGCAAGTCCTATTCTTCTGAAGACAGCTCTGCCTTTTCACAAGTGACACTGGGGAGCAGATGAACTCAGGCTTGGGTAGGTAGGAAGCATCCCTTGCCCTTCTGGATTCTGTCCTATGGGTGTGAGTTCTCCTCTTGGCAAAGGGCAGAAGGGCCTCCTAGAAGCAAATTTAGCTGTCCCTGTGCTTGCTTTTGCCAGTAATAGTCCTGAGACAAGCTCTGGGACACAAGAGTGTATAACCAGGCAGTCCTCACAGACCTCGGCTGTGCTTTTATATCAGAAACAAGGCCTATGTAAGAGAGGATCGTATCCTATCATCCTCACCCTAAGTTCCCTTAGTTCTGTCTCTGGTGACTGCCCCAGCTACAGAGCCGTAGAACTGGCCAGGTGTAGAGGGCCTACTCAACCATTTTTGTTTTGTTGTTTTGAGATAAAGTATTGCCATGTAGTTCAGGTTAGCCTTGAACTCACCATGTTCCTTCCCCTAGAGTGACTTTGAACTCAATGCATTCCTATTGCCTCAGCCTCCATGTGCTGGGATCACATGCATGTGTAATCATATCTGGCTCTCTTCACCTTGCTTGTGCCTTCCAGCAGCCAGACTCCCCCAGCTCTTCTGCCTGCCAGTTCCTCTTGCATGGTTCCCCCTGCTCAGGCCTCTCCTTCTTTCATTTAGTTCCCATTGCACCCATGGGGGCCTGCTGTCCCTGGGTGGTGCTCCGAATTATGCATCTGGTGTTGCTGGTCAGCTTTGACCCTCCTTCCAAGAGGACTGAGGAATTTTAGGAACACATGGTGTGAGTCCACGGCTTCCTGTGTGACAGCATCGCTATCTGAGTAGCTGATAGCTGCTGATTCCTTTGCATGCCAGGATCGAAGTGAGCATGAGGTAGAGAAGGTGAAGAGCGCACTGATCCTGTGCTATGGGCACATAGCAGCACGGGCCCCCCGAGAGCTGGTGCTGGCCAAGGTGGAATCCAACATCCTCCCCAACATGTTCCAATGCTTCAACAACAAGGTGAGTCCTGTGGCTCTCTGTGGGGCTGGTCCTGATCATGCATGTCATAGTTGCATGTCTTAATTCATTTCACTTTTTATTGTTCAGGTTCTGGGAATAAAAGTAGAAACCAAGGTACAGTGTGGAGGAGCTGCATGTGGTGCTTTCCTCTCTTTCTGCTGGGCTGGGCTGTGGGGGCAGAACCAGACCAAAAGACACAGGGCTACCTGGCTAGCCCTGGGGGACTATCCTACAGTATTGTTCCAGGGCCTTCTGCTCATTTCTCATTGGAGCAGCCTCTTTTCTTGGGGCTTGAATGGCCAAGCTACTACTCTAGGGAGGAGCAGGGCTTTTGCTACCTCTGAGTAATTAGGCTTAGGCCCACATTCTGGGAAACTTGTGGGCCTACCTGCCTTGTGGCAATGGCCCGTCCAGACCAGGGACAGCCCCACAACTCCTCTGGCATTGCTGTCTGATGCTCCCGAGGCTCCTTGTCTCTAGACCCCTGGAGCTTCTGGAGGACAGCGGAGCCCAGGACCGGTGGAGATGGCGTTAGAGGCTCCTTGGCCTCACTAACACGTTTCTCTTCTGGCATTAACCTGACCAGCCCTCACAGAAACGATTGGCCTCTTTTGAGGAGCAGAGCATAGCCTTCACCTTTGCCTTCTGGGCCTGGCTGGCCGGATGGTGCTCCCTCCCACCACACAACTTCTGTGCGGCCCAGCTGGGCAATCTCCTCAGCCAGGCCCTCCTCCCACCTTAGGGCTGTGACCACACACCATACTCTGGGGCTGTCTGCCCATGGCTGGGAATCCTCTGTTAGGAGGACTGTTTAAAGGACTCCTAGAGATATAGAGGAGTCTTGTCTGGCTGCATAGGGAGAGCAGCATGTGTGCTGGCCTGCACTGCTAGCAGCCCTGGGGACCCGGAGGTAACCACCCGTTAGACTGTGCAGCAGAGTGCCGGCGGCCTCTTGCATCTAGGTGTTTCTCCAGGACCCAGCCCTGAAACTGAGCCTCGTCCAGAGCTTGTGCATGCTTAGCCAGACTGCCCGCAGCGGCACTCAGCCTGGCTCCTTCCACTTCTCAAGGAAAGCAGAACTGGTGGCACAGATGATGGTGCGTGCTGGGCAGACACTGCTTCTGGGGCAGGTTTCTGGGAAAGCAGGTGGTGGATCGTGGTGGTTCTGTAGAAAAGTAGAGGCAGGACCTAGGGAGGTGAGAGAGATAGCCCTGGAGGGGTGAGCAGAGCCCTGGGCCCCAAGGAGCTCTCACTGGTTAGGAGGCTCAGGCCCAGCAGGGAAAGAGGGTAGTGCCCTCTAAAGACTGAGTCTGTGGCCACCTCACCCAGGAGTTCATCAGAGCAGAGCCTGCAGACTCCCTGACCACATCCCTTCGGAAGAAAGCCATGCTCACCTGCACTCACCTGGTGTATCCTTTGCTGCCTCTGTGTATTATGTGTGTGTGCATGTGCTGTGTGGGTGCATCCAGAAGCCTGCAGCTGTACCATCTGCAGAGACCTGAAGGTTTCTGGGGGGCTGGCTAAAAGACCTGGGGCACAGTCATGGCTAGGGCCCTTAACTTGTTTCTCAGCTCTTTGGAGCCGCCACTAGAAGAGCAGGCACAGGCTGACATGATCCATGGCTGCCTACACAGTGTCATGGCCCTGCCTCCTGAGCCTCAGGGAGAGGATGGTGGCTGCCAGGAGGTACTGTATGTTCCCCTCACCCTGCGTGCATGTTTGTGGAGGCTGTGGGAAGGTCACATAAGTGATGGGATCACCTGGGGGGCTGGGTGGTCTGGCTGTCCTTCTAGCCCCTGTATCTGGAAACAATACGTGCCCTTGAAGACTTGCTGACAAGCCTGTTGCAGTGGAACATGACCCCCCAGGGCCTGCAGGTCATAATTGAGGTTCGTGGGGCTGTGCAGTCATGGGGATGGAGGAATGGGAGCGCATCGTAGGGACCATTGTGTGCACTCTGCAGTGGAGGGTGTCTTTGAGCAAGCAGGCAGCACTCCTTCCTGACACAAAAGGGCAGTGGTGACCCAGTGAGGGCTATGCAGCCTGCCCCCGTCCCCACTGTGTGGTACTAGGAGGAGGAACATGCGTCCTGGACACAATCTGGGGCTGGTGAGATGCTGGGACACCGACCCTGCTGGCATGCCCTTCCCACTCCTTTCAGCAACGCAGTGCAGCCCTCGTCTGGGAGTGTATCCTCCATCCTGCCTGGTAGCCCTGGACAGGGGACAGGGCAAAGTCAACTGCAGTGGGCCCTGAGTTGGAGGCCATGTGCCTGCCTGGCCCTCGGGAGTTAGAGGGGTGACCTGGAAGTGATGCTGAGCCAGCCCTCAGGTGCACAGAGTCCTGTCCTCCTGGGCTGCCCCAAAACTGTCACCTGTGTGAAGCTCCGCTCTTCCTAGCACCTGAGGCCATGGATCAAGTCCCCACGGGGCCATGAGCGGGCACGGGCATTGGGCCTGAGTGCCCGCCTGCTGCACTACTTCCTGGAGCACCTGCAAGTCAGCGTGAGTACTGGTTTCTCTGTGCCCCCTGCATCCCTTCCCTAGACCACTGGGCTCAGGAATCCTGCATGTGGCCCTGAGTCCAGGCCCTTCTCTGGCTGCTGCCTCCACTCTGAAATGAATCGAGGACCTGCCACAGCCAGCATCATCCTGAGACATAGCTTGGAGCTCAGTCAGTCATGGCGTGGCTGACATGCATCCAGAACTTCACTGCTAAGTTGTTTGACTTGATTGGTAGTGTTGATTTTTTTTTTTTTAATCAGTCTGTGTTAATCAGAACTTCTCTCTGGCACAGATACTGGATCTTTTTGGTTTTTGTTTTTTCTTGCAGCTATGAACTCAAGGCCTTCACACTGAGCTACATCCTCAGCCCATTTTTTATTTTTATTTTTAGTTTTTAGTTTTTATTTTGAGACAAGGTCTCACTAAATTGTCAAGTTGTGATCCTCCCTCCTCAGCCTTCAGAGTGCTGGAATTAGAGGCATGTGCTACCATCCCTGGCTAGATATTGGTTTCAAACATCTCTGGTTTTTCTTTTTGGTTTTTTGTTTGTTTGTTTTGAGTTTTTGTCATTGTGTTTGTTTGTTTGTTTGTTTGTTTTGAGTCAGGTTCTCACTATGTAGTTCAGGCTGGCCTTAAATTCAATAGTAGCTATCTTTAAATTTGCTTCGATCCTCTTGCTTCGGCCTCCCAAATGCTGGGATTACAGGCATGTACCACCATGCCCAGCTCAAACATCTACTTGTCACCTATCAGGACCATTTTGAACTTGTCCTTTGGTAGTTTTTTAAATTTGTTTTGTTTTGTTTGAGAGAGGGTCTCCCTATGTAGTTTAGGCTGGCCATGGGCTCACTTTGTAGCCCAGGCTGGTCTCAAATTTGCAGCAATCTTCCTGCCTAAGCCTCCCGAGTGCTGGGATTATAAGAGTTCACCACCATGCCTGGCTATCGTAGTATTGTTTTTAGTACACAAAAATCACTGGCCCCTGTATGGGCAAGCTAGAGGCCATCACTGGCCAAATCTGGAAATTTCTTGATGGCTATCCCTTCAGTGTGCATCATTTCCCCATGGTCTTTTTCCACTTGCCTTCTTTTTTTTTTGGTCTTTTTTGAGACAGGGCCTTGCTATGCAAGTTCAAGCTGGCCTTGAGCTCACTTTGTAGCCCAGACTGGTCTCGAACTCGCAACAATCCTCCCACCTCAGCCTCCCAAGTGCTGGAACTACAGGCAGCCACTGGCCTCCTGCCCTGAGCCACCACGCCCGGCTTCCCACTTGCCTTCTTTCATGGCCTGTTTTTCATAATGTTTGACTGGATTTTATTTTAGTCTGGGTTGTGATGAATGTAACCTAAGAACATAGCCACCAATGCTGAGGTCTTGCAGCCAGGACCTAGGAGTCTTTCCCTCCTGACCTGTATGAAATGCTTTCTTCTCATCAGTGGTAGACTGGGAGGGGTTGGTTGGTTTCTAGAGTTTCAGAAGCACCTGGGGAGAGAGGGAGACAGGGAGCTGGCAGAGGTTAGGTGCTGTTACAGGCCCCAGGGAAGAGAGCACTAGGGGAAAGACAGACGTAAGAGATGGGCTGGGACCCCATCAGGACAAAGGGGTTTTATGTGCCTCCTCCCTTGTGTTACCCCTTTAGGGGCTTCCTCTTCATCCCCTGATCGTCCCTTTACCTCCACATACTTGCTTTTCCCTCCCCTACATAGGGACACTTCGAACTAGGTGTGGTCAGCTCAGCTGAGCTAAACAGATCCCACACTGAGGGGATGGGGAGAAGGAACTCACAAGGGCTGACTGGCCAAGGGAAGGCCAGGGCTGTGGGGCACAGTCCACAGGGCCCTCCTTGTGTCTTGGAGGTATAAGCTGTGTTTTCCCATCCCCTAGCATTCCCATAGCCCAGGCCCCTGTGCTGTCTACCCCCAGGCTCTGGTGCCCTTCCACAACCTGGGCCTCCTCGTCGGCCTCTTCTCCCCGCGCTGTGCGGACCTGTGGCCTGCCACCCGCCAGGAGTCTGTGAACTGCATCCACTCCTTGCTTTACCTACAGCTGGGCTATGAAGGTGAGCTCTGCTCAGGGCAGGAGGCCAGGTGGGCGAAGTGCTAGGAGGGATCAGCCTGGAATTTGGTTGTGGGCGGCTAGGAAAGGTCTCAGTCTGACTCCTCCTTCTCCTCAGGCTTCTCCCGAGAACACCGTGATGAAGTCGCCGAGCGACTCCTCACCCTCAGAGACAGTTTCATGCACGCTGACCCTGCTGTCCTCTTCCATGCCTGCCATAGCATAGCCCAGGTATTGCCAGGACATGTGCTTGGGAATGAGGAGCTACATCTCTTGGGGCTAAGAAGGACTTCAGAGATGGCAGGCATGTCCTCTGGGCTCTGCAGGTGCCATGGAGCCTGTAGGTGCAGAGCAGGAGCTATAGGATTCATTCAGAGAACTTGTCTGGAGCCAGGTCTGGCCAGCACAGCCTACTCCTCCCATGCCTGCCCTCTGTGGAGCACCATAGTGCACACAAGAGAATGATGCTGTGTGTGGCAAGGCTTTGATGGAGAATGAAGAGGCAATGAGAGCTCAAGGCCCAGATGGCCTAGTGGCTGCTGCCACCTGCACCCCAGCCTGCTCACTCACTTAAGATACTGGTTTCTAGAGCAGGGTCAGGCTGTCGTATGCTAGCATTTGTGTTAGTAGCCTGCCTTGACCCAGTGCCCAGAGAGAGTGACATGAACTGGTCAGCCGTAGCCTCTAGCTTGTCCACCACTGGGCCAGTGGTGGGCCTTTCCTTGGGTGCCAGCTGGTAGAGGCATTTTATCCCACTGCAGTCTGGGCATGGCTCTGTGAGTCAGGGTGCCCAGCCCCGGCATGCTGCCTGTGTAACCTTAGAGGCCACTCAGAGGTGCTCTCTTTCACTCACCTTTTGTGAGCCCTTTCTTGGGCAGCTCTCCCAGACCTGGGTGTCTAGCAAAGGAAAGGAGAGAGAGTCACCAGGGCCCTTTTCAGGAGAGCAGGGACCTACCCTGGGCCAGTCAGGATGCAATAGGACCCTAGTGCCCTGGTGTCTGCCACTGTCACGTTGCTTGTCATCTTCCCTGACTAGTCTCGCTTGGTAAGAGGAGAAGAAAAAAAATTCTATCCACTGCTGAACTGGAGGGCAGCCACAGGCCTTCTGTGCCTATGGCAGGATACTTCCTGATCCTTCTGGTTGAGAGTCCCCAGTCCTGTAGCTGTCCAGGGACTACCTTCCAACAGCCACCCGGGGTTGGAAGACAAGGAGGAAGGTCAGGAAGAGGGAAGCCTGAAATTTTCTACCTGAAAGTTTTCTGTTTAGGGCCAATGCACCTCGGTTCTTCTGTACCACTCTTCTAGATTATTGCCAAGCGCCTCCCACCAGACCAGCTCATCAGCCTCTTGCTAACTATGTTTGAGGGTCTGGGAGACCCTGACAAGAACTGCTCTCGAGCAGCTACTGTCATGATCAACTGCCTACTGAAGGAGCGGGGCACCGTGCTAAAGGAGAAGGTAGGGGCTATGGGCCAGCCAAGCCCAGGGTCAGGACTGGGTACTTGGACTCCTCTGCTGGGACTTTCTTCTCTTAGACCCTCACAGCTTAGCTCCCTTTCACTGTGGGTGTTATGGCCAAATCTTTTTCTTTTTCTTTTGTTTGTTTTCATTTTTATCGGTACCAGGGATCGAACTCATGACTGCCTGCTTGCAAGGCAGGCGCTTATGCCACTGAGCTAAATCCCCAGCCCCCAAATCTTTTTCTTATATCTGAAGACAGGTCAAAAACAACGAGGGCTGGAGATTTAGCTCAGTGGTATGAGTGCCTGCCTGACAAGCATGAAGTTGTGAGTTTGATTCCCGGTACCAAAAAAAAAAACAAAAACAAAACAAAAAAACACAACTCTACTAAAAAATTTAAGAGGTAAAAAGGGAAAGAAGAAAGAAAATATAAGTTGGATATGTTGGTATGTACCTGGGCTGCTCGGGAGGATGAGGTGGGAGGATAGCTTGAGGTTCAAGACCAGCCAGGCAATGCTAAGCTTACTGAGCTAGGTGGGGGGAGTGGCACCCGACTGAATGAGCTCCCTGATCTCAATACTGATTGAGGACACTGGTGCAAAGTCTCCCATATCTTCAGAGGCTTTGCAAGTGCAGGGCTCCATGCCCCTGTCCAGACGGAACTGCTGTACTGCATTACACACCTCTACGTCCCTTTTCCCTCTGTGCCTGTAGGGTCTCAGATCCATACCTGTTCTTGCGCTAATGACTTCACAATGGTACATGAGTGCCCTGAAAGGCAGAGCCGGGGCCCAGCCTGCTGCCCTCCAGGGAACATGAGCCTCTGTGCTGAAGTGAGCACAGCAGCAAGGAATACCCAGACACACTCAGCCCTGCCACCACTTCCACAGCACCTGGAGCACAGCCTGGCTTGCAGGTTCTGTAGATGGCATTAAGCCTTGAGGTCATACACATGATTCCCTGTAGTGGCCCACGTGTTCCTTATAGTGGCAGTCATCCCCATTCACCCAGCACCTCTGAGCACCTGTATGTTTAGCTTTCAGTTTGGTTGTTAGGAAAAGAGCCTTAGTGTCCCTGGGCCTGAGGGTATGCAAAGGACACATCTGGAAACCAGCAGTGTCCTGGGCAGGGGCCAGTTGGTGAACAGACTCCAGCAGCCAGTTTGCCAATGGCTGGGTTTCCTGCCCTTTCCTAGTGAGTATGTGATGCTCTACGTTAAGGTTTAATTCACATTTCTCTGTAACTTATGAGCACTTCGGCATATTACCAGCTACTTGGATGCCCTTTCTTGTGAAGACACCAGTCTTATTTGCTTGTTTTTGGTTTTGTTTTCTGGGTTGAGACAAGGTCTCATTATGTAGCCCAGGTTAGCCTTGAACTCAGGCAGTCTCCTGCCCCAGGCTGCTGAGTGCTGGGATCACAGGTGGGTATACCACCATACCTGGCAGTGCATAAGATCTTTAAGTTTGACAGAGTCCTATGTTTCTCTTTTTGTTTTTTTGGCTGTACATCTTGTGTCATGTCCAAGAAATTGTTGCCAGATCTGTTGTCAGGAAGCTTTTGCTCTGCTTTTTACAAGTTTAAAAACTATAAGTTTTAGGTTCCTCCCTTTTTTGGTAAAGTTAGATGTCCTACATGTACCTGACGTAATAAGCTAGCATCATGGTCCAGCCAGCAGCACTGTTTCTAATCCCAGGTTTAGACTCAGTGTATCTGTACCTCAGTGCCCCAGACACACCTGTAAATTAGTGTGCTTGTACCCTGGGCCTGCTGAGGTGATGCAGACCTCCATTTTCTTCCTTCCTTCCTTTCTTTTTTACTTTCTTTTTCTTTTTTGTGCTATGGATTGAACTCAGGACCTCCCACTTGCCAGGTAGGCACTTATGCCACTGAGATAAATGCCTGGCACCCAGATCTCCATTTTCTATCCTGCCCTGGGAGATCTTGGCAGGGGATCCTCATAAAGACAGGCTGATGTGCTGAGCTTCAAGTCTCTCTGACGAGAGATCAGAAGATATGGTTCCAGCAACTGACGTGGTGGGACTGAGCTAAACCCAACATAAGATACCTATAAATGGCACACACTATAAAACGAAGTGTGAGGCAGGACTGAAGAACATAACAGGCTCCCAGTGGTGAGGGGAGGATCCACTGTGGGCTGAAAGGGACCTCAGTTAAAGCAGACAGCTTGGGGCAGAGAGGAGATAATATAAAAATGGTCTGGAAAGTTCTCAGAGAGACATGGCCATTGTATCAGCTAGCCATTCCACTCCTCAGTGCTATTCATGAGAACCGAAAATGCAGTCAGACAGAACTTGTAAACATGTAAATAGCAACATCCAAATACCCATGAGCCCATGAATAAATAAAATGGTTCATCCACACAGTGCAATATTCTTTGGGTACTTAAAGAAACAAAGCACGGAAGAACCTTTTGCTATGGAAGAAACTTGTTTCTGTCTAACAGTGAAAGGAGGCAGACATGAAGGGCCACATATTGTGTGATTCCATTTTTGTGACATGTTTAGAATGGGCAGGTACACAGAGACAGGAGGTAGATTAGTTGTTTCTAAGAGAAAGGGAAGGCACTGACTGCTTCCGGGGGTAGGCTTTCTTCTGGGGTGGTAGAAATGTTTTGAAATTAGCTATGTGTTGGTCATAGTCCTTAAATGTGCTGAAACTGATATAGGATAAATATAATGCCCAGCCTGTTAAATTCCAGGTATACCAAGCTCATTCCCACAGCATTAAGGAATAAAGTCTCAAACCAAAGGAAGAAGTTAGGGGAGCTTTATGAAAATAAGGAAAAAAGAATAGCTTTTGGATTTCTAGGAGGGGTCCCAAATGGATGTCCATGAGGCCTTTGTCAGGGTAATTTATACAGCAAAGCCACAATGTGGGTACCACATAGGTCAAACTACAACCAACCTGTGGAGTTACAAGTATAGCTTAGCTAGTATTGATCTAATAGGGAAACAGGTCACATTGCAATAGTACATAGAAAGAAAGCAGACTTTGGGCCAGGGATGGGTCCAGATTCTCTGGTCACCCACCCATGTAACTGATGCCTATCTGAACCTCCCAGACCAACTGGTACTATTACAGTATAATTCTAAGTTACTGTTTATCCGTTATAGAGGCATGAAGCCTGGCCATTGCATCTTTATCTTGAGGCCTGACCATCTTCACATGTGCCTCCCACATGTCTTTATTTTTGTGCTGACTTCCTGAAAGCCCGGTCCCTCTCTAACTGTATATTAATTTCTAACTTAGTTGCCATAATAAAACCACTCACAGTGAGTGGACTGCATGTTACCTGAACAGCATCTCCATGAAGCTATTGAGAACAAATGGCCAGATCAAGAGAGGACCTGTGTGAGGCTCATGGTGAAGGGGAGGAGCTGCAGCCTAAAGGCACAGTTGGGCCTGAGGCCAGACCAAGCTTGGAAAGTGAGGGATGCAGACAGGACCTCGAGTGGTGGTCAGCTAAAATGCATCCTCTCATCCCCGACTGGATAGACCCTGCCCATCTGTCCAGGAAAGGGGTCTGTGCAAAACTTGGGTTTGAAAGCCAGTACTGGGATTCTAAGGTTGGAAGTTAGTTTGGAAATCATTTTGCCTGCAAGCCCTCTATACCTAACTGTTGCTCTTGCAGTTGAAATGTATCACAGCAGGCTGTATACAAAAGTCACTGCCCTCAAGCACTGAGGAGCAAGCTGTGTGCTAAAAATTCTTTGCTGGAACCCCACCCTTTCTTACTGTTCAGACTTCCTAAAAGAGGCTAGTGTGTTGCTTAGTATAGCACTTACCTAGCATGCACAAAGCCCTGGGTTCCATCCTCTGTGCCACAAGCGAACAGCCTTCCAGGAGCCAGGAATATATAGGGAACTGCTCCACAGGGCAACTGGCAGAATCCACAGGCCTTTGCCATTCCTTGTAGGGTACAGCCGGGCAGGGACAAGGAGCAAGCAGATAGGGCCAGGAGAGAAAGGAAAACAGGTGATAGAAAGGGGGCAGGGGGTGCTGATACAGAAGAGCTATGAGTTGGGCATGTCAATGTTTTGCACTCAAGGCCCTCAAGTGAGATGTGTCAGTGTTGTCAGCATGCTAAAGAGTGCCTCAGCATGACAACGATGAGTGAAGGAGCTGCCCTGTGCCTGTGCTGCTCTCTGTTAACAAAACTGTCTTCTGAACCCCCAGCCTTCTCTCCTCTACCCTCCATGCCTGGGCCTGGAAAGGTTCCCATCTGGAGCTCGATCTCCTTCATGTCTGTTCATCCTTCTTGAATGTCTTTTTGGTCTCCTAGGCTCTTTTTGCCTTTTTAATAGCACAGATCAGCTAGTGAGTCCTTAGGCCACAGGCAGGAAGACTCCAGCCCTGGGTATAGTGTGCTGGCTATTCCAGCACAAGCATGATGCTCTCCACCATGACTGCACCATTTCCAGCTTTGGCAGTGTGGGGTTACCATGGTGGGGCTGGAGTGGAGACTCATGAGCCAGCACTCTGAGTGGGCACAGGTACCTTCAGGATGAGACCACTTTAGGAGACACGCTGACCTGCTGGGAGTTGCTAAGGGGCTATCCCTCCAGGCCATTAGACTTGGTGTAGATCTGGGGGACCCCAGAGCCAGAGTCCTTCCATCCACCTGCCCATGGTCCCCAGTGCTCCCATTACCTGCTTTTTATAGCAGCAGGATACCTGCAAACTCGAATAGACAGTGTCCCAGATCTCACTCTTTTCTTCTCCCAAGTTCGGTTCCATTGTCATTGATACTCTGGGTCTGTTTATCCTCCTCGGTTCTTTCTAGGAGGAGGTTGTAGCCCAGATGGGTCCTTACAGGCTGAATCACAAATGTGGTGTATGAGTTCAAGGAACTTCAACCCTGTCAGTCCTGAGTTCATTCCCTGGTAACCCATGCTCTATACCAGCTCTCAGGCCCACAGAGAAAGGTAGATCAGAGGTTTCTCTGCATTTGCCCGAGGGCTTTCGTCTGTCTTGTCTTGTATGCTAACACTGAGACACACCCTGGCCCACTTATCTCTTCCCATGTGCAATCTGGGTCTTTATTCTGATGACCACACCACTTTGCTGCCCATTCCCTGGTGGTTGGCAGTGCCCAGCAGTCAGGAGTAGGGAGTTCTACACAGCCAGGGCAAGCGGCTACTCCTTTCTTGTCTGTGTGTTCCCCTTGGGCCACTTTGGCTGCATGACTTGATTACTGTATCTTGTCCTTTTCTGTTGCATGTTGTGTGTCTTGTCCACAGGTGCCTGAGATCGTGAGTGTGTTACGTTCCAAACTGCAGGAAGTCCATGAAGAGCACATCCTGCCTGCTGCCCAGCACAGCGTCTACCTCCTGGCATCCCAGCATTGCACCACTGTGGTGTCCAGCCTCCTGGGCAGCCCCCTGCCCTTTGACAGGTACCTGTTACCCATGGCTAGCTAGGTAGAAGTGCCTGTCTAGATCCCAAGCTCGAGAGTTCTCCCTGCCTGGTACAGTGCTTACTTCACCAGCCCTCCTGCCTGTGCTCCCCAGCTTTTCTGTTTGAGTCCCCATGTCCCTGAGCTGTGCACAGCAGTGACTTTCTGGACTCCTATTCCTTCTGGGCAAGGCTGTGTAACCTGCCAATGGGAGTGTGCCTGTCCGCAGGATACAGTGATCCTCTTATTTTTGGCCACCATGCTTTGGTACGCCAGGCTGTACATTCAGGGTGAAAGAGTTACTGTCTCATTCCCTGGGGACAGGCCTCTTGTCCTGACCGGCAACTTCCTGTTGCTCATGATTCCTTTTGTGTTCAAGTATGTTCGTCAAGTGCCTCCTTACCATCCTGTAAACATCTACTCTTCTGTTCTTAGTGTTTTGGACATGTTGCTTTTTTACACAGTAAAGAGCTGCAATGGATTACATCACTGTTTTTTTTGTTTGTTTGTTTGGTGGTTTTTTTGTTTTTGTCCCATCTCTTATCTGTTTTAGACTGATAGGATCTGATATCATTTTGATTCTTCCACTGCTTTGGAAGCCTCTATCTTGTTCCTTTGCTTCTAGTGGCTACCCTGACAGTGACTCAGGTGTCATTTCCCAGGCAGTTTGGTGCAAACAGGCACAAACCAGCCTGATGCAGACTCACACAACTGAGGCACCTCTTTTCCACCATTGTGGCTCTTATGCTGTCTTCACTCAGTTAAACTTCCCCACCACTTAGTGTAATCTTCTGCATTTCTGTTTCATTCTCTGCAAGGGTGCGAACATGGCCAGGGCTGCCCCAGGTGAATCCTGTACACCTGTAGACCTTGGCACTGCCCAAATGGAGGCAGTAGTCACTTCCCCTGAGGCCCTGGGCCTCCCCAATTGCAGCCCCTTGACAGGTCAGTGCTGTCTACCACCACAGAATCCCTTCTGGCTAATTGCTCACTCTGTACCATACTGTGAGGTGGCTTGTTCTTTATTGCTATGTTGTGTTTACCTGTCTGTTCCCAGATGATGGATATTTGGGTTGTTTCTAGTCTGGGACTGTTCATGGTAAAAGAAAAAAAAAAAATGCTGGAATTTTTTCGGTGTTTCTTTGGAGAATGAGGTTCTCAGGTCACCCACATGCATGCAGGAGTGGCGTGATGGGGGTTGGGCTGCCTATGCCTGTTAGCACCAGTGCACAGGACTGGGACTTCCTCTGATAAAGGTTGGGAAGAGATTAAAAAACTATTTTCTGACATATGGGGAAGACAGTAAGTTCAACTTTCAGTGTCCATAAATAAGGGTGGTGCTGGAGCCCTGACACACACCTTCACCTTGTGTCTATTGCTGCTGTTAAGATCCCAAGCTTTGTAACAGTAGACATGAACAGCTGTGGCAGGAAACCAAGCTGTTTACATCAGTCCTCTTGGAAGCCTCTGGCCCTGCCCCAAGGTATAGGTGGGTGTGGTCTTGTGTGTGGCTGAATAACCACACAGGATACCTGGGCACCAGTCATCACATCTGCATCAGCAAAGTGTGCCATCCTCACAGGTCCGTGTCTCCCACAGCTCCTTCTTCCTCACTCGTGACTTCCAGAATTTCCTTTAGTTACACATTCTCATTAGTTTATCTGAAGATGTCTTTGTTTAGTCGTCGTTTCTGCAGTTTATAGTTCTGGTTTGGGAAGTGTTTTTAGTGCTGAGTGTGAGTTAACTCATCACTGCTGACTTCTGCCAGTTGCTTCTGAGTAGTGAACACAAGGACAGCTTGTCATTGTGAATGACGCTGCTTCTCCTTGGTGCTGGACCCCTTTATGCCATCTGTGACATCTGAATGATCTCCCTTTGCTGCCTGATTTCTTGTGTCACCAGTGCCTAGTCCTCTTTGACCATAGAGGTCTACCTTTTTGCTTCACTGTGTCCTTTTTTGCAAGCTGTTCACAAACCCTTGGGGTCAGAGGAAAGGGTAAATTCAGATACCAAGTCAGGGTACCATCAGGTCACAGTTGAGCCTGGTGCTTCTGAGCATTAGTGAACTGGAGTGGGAAGGGTGGTAGGAAGAGACCCTTGGTCCAGTTGCCAGCACCTGTGGTGCTGCAGCCAGCAGTGGCCCAAAGTGACCTTCTGCCACCTGCTCCAGCCACACCTGTGCCCTGTGGCGTGCGCTAGCCATGGAGCCAAGCCTCACTGCCCAGGTCCTGGGGCTACTCTTGGAGAAGGTGAGCAGGGACGTGCCATTCAAGGAGAGCCGGGCCTTCCTTCTGGGCAGCACTCCCGACCGAGTAGCCACACTTCTACCCCTGGCGGTGAGTAAGGGTCCAGGAACCACTGACATGCTGTCCCTGCCCCCACAAGGGACCACCCTACCTCATCTTGCAGCTGCACTAGGGCTCAGAGCCCAGGCTCATAAAACCCAGCAGGTGTTGGCCCCCAAGGGAGCCCATTTCTCATTTCATCTTGCAGAAACCCTACCCACTCAGCTGGCCACTTTAAAACAGTAAAGCAGCTGTGAGAATTTCCTCCCCTGTCTTCTGAAGAACCAAGAACAGATATGGCCTGAATGCCACACTGCCCTTTTGTCCCAGTCTTCTGCTCCAGGAGGCCAAGTTAGCAGGATCCTTTCTGCCCTGTGCCTCTCCCAATCCAGGAACCTAAGAGCACCACTACACTTGGGGTGCATGCTGTGAGACTGGGGCTCGTTAGAGGCCTGATGTGCAGGATGCAGATGCTGCTTCAGCTAACCTTGTGGTCTCCTCCTCAGGCCACCTGTGCACTGTACGAGGTTGTGTCTGCCCCAGCATCAGGGACCGCAGTGCTAGAGCTCTACCCGCAGCTGTTTGTGGCTCTCCTGCTGCGTGTGAGCTGTACCATAGGTGTCCAGCTGCCCCGGAACCTGCAAGCCAAGAAGAGGGGCACCAGCACAACCCTCCATACCAGAAGTCTTGAGCCCTGCAGGTAAAGGCTACCTTAGCCCATGCTGTCCTGCTGCTGATTTGTGAGCACAGGTCCCTCTCTGGTATGTGTGTTGGAGGTGGGGAGACATGAAAGCCCAAGATTGTGTGTGTATGCTCCCAGGGAGCCCCCTACTCCTGGTGCAGGGCTTTGTGGTAATTATGGCACCCTGCCAATCCACACACTTTGTGCTGGGAGCAAAAGAACCCTATCTGCAAGCCCATCTGGTCTTTCCTGCCACATGGGCAGGTAGAGATGATTGAAAGTTCACGCAGCAGTGCCAGCTGCAGCCATTAGCAGTTTGTGGCCTCTTAGGTAGAGTTAGGGTGGGGGCCCCTCTTAAAGGCGGGTCGAGGTCAGAAGAGTCTTTTGGATGCAAGCTGAGAGACCTGCTGTGGGGAAGGAAGAAAGTGTCTTGGCAGAATGCCTTTGTGTGTCCCACACCCAGTGTAGGAGTCACTGAGATGCCCTGGGGCTCAGGAAGGGACTCCTTCTCTCACTTAGCTTTAAGGTCCAGTGATAAGTGCTGAGTGAGCCCTAAGACCTAGGTCAGGAGAACTGAAGTAAGGTGGAGCTACATGCTGATGTTGGTGGCTTGAGGCTGGTCAGGCTGCTCTTGACTGTCAGCAATGTGGGTTCCTGCCCTTTGTGAGATCCTGGTCCTTGGGACCATGCTTGTAGCCTGGGTTCCATACAGCCCCCTGGGGACTGGTTTGAGTAGAGAAAGCTGACCTCTTCCACCCCTACCCAAGGAGTCTTGTCATTGCCACCTAGAACCCCAGGATGACAGTGAGCTCTGTGCCACCTTGGTCAGGCACCCATGGGAGGACAACCTTAGGTTCACCTCACTACACTTTCACCTCCAAAAGCTACTCAGCTGTACAACCAGCTCATAAACTCCAGCAAAGTCTGGTGTCAGGGCTGGCTTGGCTCTCCCCAGACCTAGTAGAAAATGTCCAGTGGGAAAGAGTAGCAGCTTGGGCTGACCAGTCCTGGGCCTAGCATGTTGGTAGTCCACTATGACTGTCTGAACTTCTCCAGAAGCCCCTGAGCTGGGGTACTTACAGAGCCTGGCAGACAGAGGCCACCAGCCAATGAGCTAGACCTTTGCAAATGCCACATTCTTCAGTGTTCTTCTGGACAAACTTACGTCTGGAGTACTTACATTTGAGATGTTGACATGTTCCTGAGCTAAGCATGTACTTCCTGTTAGCTCTCTCAAATCCAGTTAAGAACCTGAGCAGCCATTCTCTGCCAGAGCAGCCCCTGGTCCACAACTGCCCTTGAACTAGAACCCACTGTGCCCTTTCTAGGTCTTGCACTCTGATCTGGTCTCCAGCAGCTTGAATGAGCTGAGGTGCATTCTGGGCACCTGCCCAATGACACAGCTACTAGTTACAGCAGGCTGCCAGGAGTCCAGAGGGGGAAGCCTCCTCAGCATCCAGAATGCTGGGCTCAAAGACCTACCCTCTCCCAGAATTGGGAACAACCCCAGATTGCAGAACCTGTGGCTGCTTATCAAGGGCTACACTAGGAGCTGGTCCACCTGTTGGCTAACAGGTCACCTAAGGATGCCTGTGGGAAAGTTCAGGGCAGAGAGAAATCCAAGCCTCTGCCCTCTAGTGGAGTGGAGCCTCCACTGCCTCAGCCCCTTGCCCACCCCTCAGACTGTGGTCCTCCAGGCCTGCTCAGGTCTTGCTCCAAGGGTTAGCTCTTGCTCCAAGGGTCTTACTGCAGGGTCTTGCTCCAAGGGTTAGCTCTACTGACCTGTCCAGAAGTCCTGTGTGGCCTCTACTGAGTGAGGTCCCAGATAATCTTACCATGTGGTTCTGTCCCCACCATGCCTCCTCACTGATGCTGTCTGCTAAAGGCCCCTAGCGCTGCTCCGCTGAGCCCCTTGGCAACCAGTCCCTCATGCTCAGGCATGCAGCAGCACAGTGCACAACTGGCCTCAGATTCAGGTTCAGCCTTTGCAAGAGGAGGCTACTACTCTAGACAGGCCATCAGCCATTGCCATGGTTGTCACCTCACAGCTCAGCACACTGCCCCATCTGTGGATTGAGTTCCAGGGATCAATACATTAAGTCCCCAACTTAACATTTGAATCACAGACTTTCACAGGTGTACTGTGTAAGACTTTGTTGACTTACAAATGACAGTTTGACTTAACAGTTCTGGAATGGAACTTGTTCATAAGTTGGGGACTTATTGTACTTGATGGACACAGATATACACAGGCTATCATAGGTCTAATGTGAGTGGCCAATGAAACAAGAGAGAGGTGATTCTAGAAGAATAGTCCCTCCTGACTGAGACTGCAAGATTTGGTGTCTGTGCCTGGGGACAGCTGGTGCTGCTTACCTGTCACCTGCCCACTGGATGAGCTCATCTATACACAAGATAGTGGCTAAATTCTAGCTGAGCCCTGAAGAAGCTGTAGCTTTCTACCAGCTGCTGGCCTTTGGGCCTGGGGCTTCTGCAGACCCTGGAGAGTCTCCCATACAGCCAGCTTGGGGAGCCAATGAGGTGTGGCACCAAGGGGTAGCACCCTTACCCTGTCCCCACTTCCTTGCTGGCTGCTGTTTCCTCTTGGTCCTTTACTTGGAAGCCTTCTTTATTCCACCTATGAGAAAGAGGCAGAAGCATACACTGTATGGTTTCACACTTGGGGTATGGGAGCTATGTGTGTGATCTTGTGGCATGCTGGCTGGGTCTGAGGAGAGCTTAGAGGCACGGTGCAGCCTCTGTTGGTCTCCTAGGGCCAAGATGTCCCTATGCAACCTGAAAGGTTGATGGCTGTCTGTGCCCACCTCTGAGGCTGGTAGTAGTGGCTTACTTAGCTAGCTCGCCTCCAGGCCAGTGGATGGGCCTTTGTCTTGGGCCCTCATAAATCCTGGTGGATGTCCACAAGCCTCCCTATGCCTGTTTCTTGGAGGATGCCACTGGCAAGGACAGTTGAGAGCTCCAGAAACACTCCCAAGCATGTGTGTGAAAGGGTGCACATCTGACTGGCGTGTTGGCATCTTTTCACCCTGGGAGGGAACAAGGCAGAGCCCTGTGCCAAAGCCTGCCAAGTGGTGCCTCTTAGCATCTGAGCCCTCATGTGCCCACAGCTCTGCGGTGGATGCCCTGCAGGCCCTACTGCTCCGAGGTGGCAGTCAGGACGTGGTACAGTTCATGGAACTGGAGGGAGGCTGGGAATTGCTCAGGACCTCCACAGGGCATGAGGAGGGGGTTACCCAACTGGCCAGGTGAGTCGCCCAGTCCGATTCAGGGGTTATCTGGAATCTTGAGACCTTCCAGGGGAACATGGCAGGGACAGGTGGGTGGGAAAGGATGCCCTGAGGGCCTGGGCGGGAATATGCTTGCCCTGTGCTATACAGGTGGGAGGTAGAAGTGCCCAGGCCTATGTGGCAGGTGGCTCCCATGGAGTTCTTTGAGCATGGAGGGGAGAGGTGGGGGACGGTTTGTTTTGTACATGTGGGGTCTCTCTCTAGTGCCATGGCCAAGTGTGCAGGCCCTCGGCTCCCCCTGGTGACAAAGGCACTTCTGTGTACACAGAGCAGTGTATACGAGATCCAGAGGGTCACTTCCACAGCCTTCCTGGCTGAGGTAAGACGGGTTAAACATGAGCTTCTGCCAGGTACAGGCAGGCTTCCCTGAACAGGAAGTCAGAAGTTCCTAGGGCTTGCTTAGCCAAGCCTGGAAACATCCCTGCTGGGCCCACCCAGTACTGGCTCACAGCCCTGCTGGACAGCATGTGGCAGGTCTTGGCCCTGGGCAGATGGGCTGCAGCCAGGGCCCCCCAAGGTCTGTTGATGGCAACTGTCTTGGCCTTCATAACTGCCAGGTGAAGACTTGCCCATAGCTGCAAAGACAGTAGGGATGGGTCAAGGTGGGATGTGTGGGTGCAGACCTGAGAGGGAGGGAGCAGATCCCCAACGTGTCACAAGGCTTCCTATTCTGTATGCTTGTCTGCTGCAGCTCTCTGGGACTTGCATGGCCCCACTGAGTGGAGCAGGTAGTGACAGTGCCTCTGCCTCTAGCTTCTCAGCAGCAATGTGGTCAATGACCTGATGCTTCTGGAGTCCTTGCTGGATGACCTATTGGCAAGGCAGAAGGATTCCAGTGCCAGTGTGAGGCGGCTGGTGCTCCGTGGGCTGGCTAACATTGCCTCCAGTTCACCTGACAAGGTGGGCCCTGGCGGTGTGCCCCCTGCCCCTCAGGGGGAGGCTGAAGTTTTTTAGCTGGCTGTGACCAGGTGGTAATGGACAGGGTGATAGAAGGTACAAGGAGGTGACTCTGCTGACTGGTAAAGCCACACACAGAATTTTAAGTACAGGGATTCCCAGGTAAGGACTCACGGCCCCCAGCTCCTAACAGCCATGATCAACGGGCTGGACGACAACGATGACACACACAGACTGGTGGCCCTAGAGGCCATGGTGGGCCTCACGCGGCTGTTGGACCTGATGGAGCCCTGGGACCTGCGCTCAGTACTGCTGCACATGGCTATCCGCATCCGGCCCTTCTTTGACAGTGTAGGATGAGTATGGGGTCACTTCTTAGCCTGGGCCCACTCCTACTACTCTTCCCCTCAGAGCCCCCAGTCCCTGCCCCTAATTGCTATAAGCTGTACTTCAAGTACTATCAGACAGAGCTTTACAGAGCATAGATCCCAGACCCCTCCACCCCCATCAGTGGGTCTTTCAGTGCCAACCTCTGTCCTGGTCCTTGTCCACCTACACCTCTACCCCCACAGGCCATCTGGGGCTCAGGGCAGGCCCTGTGAGGTGACATGGCCACACCTCTGGCAGGAGAAGGTGGACTTCCGGACAGCATCCATTCGCCTCTTTGGGCACCTCAACAAGGCCTGCCATGGGGACTGTGAGGACATCTTCTTGGAGCAGGTTGTGGGTGGGCTAGTGCCCCTCCTGCTACATCTGCAGGACCCTCAGGCCCCAGTGGCCAGTGTGAGTAGACAGCAGGGAGGAAGACTATGTTAGTTTGCCAGCACAGTGCCATGGCCTTGGTGTCATTTGGGCAGGGAGAGGTAGCCCAATGAACCTAGTGGCTCAGTGCCTTTTCCTGTAGGCCTGTAGGTTTGCCCTGTGCATGTGTGTTCCCAATCTGGAGTGTGCCGAGTTGGGTACTGCCTTCCAAAAGCACCTGCAAGAGGGCCGAAGCCTGCACTTTGGGGAGTTCCTCAATTCCACCTGCAAGCACCTGGTAAGTGGTGGGTAGGGAGGTCCCCCCACTGCCCTAGACCAGCTACCACCCTGATCACTTGGCTACTTCTCCAGATGCATCACTTTCCTGACCTCCTGGGCCGCCTGGTGAGCACCAACCTATTCTACTTCAAGAGCAGCTGGGAAGGTGTCCGTGCTGCAGCCCCCATGTTCACAGGTGAGCCGTGCCTGCCCCACCCCCCATTAGACACACTGTATGCCTAACCCCACCCATTTCAGGGTTCCTGGTGCTGCACGCAGAGCCCGAGCACCGGCCACAGGTAGACTTGGAGCAGCTTCTTGTGGGTGAGAGCCCGCCCCCCCCCCCCAAACTCTGACCTGTTCGCTCCACTGGGGCCCCTCTGACCCTGTAGGCACCTGGGGGGATTAAGTGATTTTCCTGGATTTCAGGGTTTTTTTCCCTGTCACTGGTGACCTCATCGTCTCTAGTAATTCACGGAAACTTCTTAACTGTTCCAAAAGAGCTTTAAAAACACTAAAAAAGGAAAAACTATCTTTCCATTGGCTGCCAAGCCCTCCCAGCAGAGGCCTGTCTGTCAGGAGGTAGTGGGCGGCCCCACACAGAATGGATGTACAACCCACCCCTCCTTCTGTCCATAGCACTGCAGCTCCTGCTGCGGGACCCAGCGCCAAGGGTGCGAGAGAAGGCTGCGGAGACACTGGGCCGCCTGGTGAAGTTCGCGTGAGGCCAGCAAGGGCCTCTGCAAGCAATACCCTCTGCCTGCACGAGGCCAGACCTGAAGGGCCCTCTGCTGGCAGGCCAGGGTAGGGGCAGGTGTCTCTTGGGATCCAACCCCTACCTCTGAAAAGGAAGGTGCTGGACACCAGATGGGGCAGGGACAAGTCAGCCTGTCTTATTTCCCAATAAAGCCATTTGCTCCCAAGAGGGTGCCAAGGTGCAATGATACCACTCCTCAGGAAGTAGGGAGCACAGCCTCTATTGAAGATGTAGGGAGACACACCCCACCCGCTCCGCAGCAGCCTAGGTAAAGAGACGAATGGTGCCATCAGCCCCTGATGAGAAGATCCATGGCTGTGTAGGGTGGAAAGCCACATCCAGGACACCCAGGTCTCGGGTGGGTGTGTGTCCCTTCAGCACTTTGACTGGCACCAGTAGTGGGTTCTGTAGCAGGTCACTGTGGGGGGAGAGGTGCTCAGGTCACAATCACATTTTAGTCCCTACAGAGAGGGGGTGGGGAGGGTCAACACTTACTTATACACCATGCCATGGCAGACAATGACAGTGCCATCATCTGAGCTGGATGCAAACAGCGGGTACCGAGGGTGGAAGGCCACAGCCCGAAGGGCCTTCTTGTGATGCCTAGGGGGAGAATGACTGCTTTTAGGAGAGATGGTGTCCAGGCAGGAGATACAATCTAGGGGACCAGCCACTCCTATACTTACCTTAGCACTTTGTATGGCTTGGTAGAAAGGTCTAGGTCAAACCACACTAGCTTGCTGTCATAGCTGCCACAGATAATGTTGTCACCTAGGGCCAGAGCAGCAGCAAGTGGCCTCACCACACCTGCAGGGTGGCCAGTTCTGCCCCTACCCAAAAGGTGTATGCTCCCCATGCTCACCTGCAGGATGCACAGCCATGCTGGACACCCACTTGCAGTTGGGCATTAGTTTCTTGGTGAGCTCCTGGCGTAGCAGGTGGTAGACACGAACATTCCGCTGGGAGGCCACCAGCAGGAAGGGCCGGTTAGGGTGGAAAGCCACACACTGTACCTGCCCATGGCTGCGGCGGAAGGGACTCTGGCTACGACGCCGACTCAGCTGGTGGATCAGCACCTGGGTGTGGCCTGCGGTGGCCAGCACTACGGCCAAGTAGTCCCCATGCCTGTGCCAGGTCACTTGTGTCACTGGCTGTGAGAAAGCAGTACAGGCTGCTTAGTGGAACCAGGCTGCACCTCCCTCCTTCCTCTCCCCAGTATACCTTGCTGTGAGAAATGCGCAGCCGCAGGCCCCTCTCACGTTCTTCCTCCGATGCTTCCAGCCACTGGGCAGGTTGCAAGGCAGGCTCTTCAGGTGGGGTAAAGGCATCCAGCAGCTGGTCTGTGCTGCCCACCAGCAGCCTGTCTCCCAGGGCCGGATTCAACAGCAGCACTGTATCATCCCTACAGAGAAAGGCCAGACATGGCCATTCAGCAGTCATGTCCTCCGCCACCATCCTGACCCTCAGGCTCTCAACTCACAGGGCAGCAGCTACTAAACAGATGGTGGGGTTGGGGTTCCAGGCGACACTCCTCACCACACCTCCCACAGGCACTGTCTTCATGCATCGAGCAGTGGCCACCTCCCAGAGTCGCACAGAGCCATCATCCGAGCCTGGATGCAGTAGAGAAAATCTTTAGCACCTAACCCAGACCCCATCTAAAGGCTGCCTACCTCTACCCCCACTCACCTGAAACCAGCCACTGGCCCCCAGGGGAGACACTGAGGCAACGAACAAGGTCACTGTGGCCCCTGTAGACCTGCAGAAGAGCGGTGGTGAGCAGATGGTCACCAGGCTTTCCAGCCTTGCCCTGGGCCCCTACTCACCAGGGTCTGGCACGTGGGGAAAGGCTGCAGGTCTCTTGGCCGAGGTAGTTTGGGGATGAGGTCTTCAGGATCCACATTCACCTTAAGTAAGAGACAACTCAGTCACCTTCGACATCATCCTTAACGTCTCCCTGTGACACCTGCACTGCCCCCACATACCCTCATCTTGCGCTGCCGTGGGCACAAGTACAAATCAAGGCAACGTTCAAAGCGTTCTTGGATGAATCGGCTGTATGCAGGCACAACCCGTAGACTTGGGAATTTCTGTGGCAGGAAATTTAGTTTCCTTTCACCTGGTTCCTGCTGCCCCCATGCCAAGCGCTGTGGAGATGGAAGATGGGGAGATGAGGCGAGCAGGGGGTGTTCAGAGAACATGGCTGGGTGACTGCCACCATCACCCCTGCCCCACCCAGATATAAGCCCACCTCTTCCTCACTGAGCAGGTATTCAGGAGGGGGATTGTATGATTCAGCATGGCCAGGAAGGGCCAGCTTGGGTGCAGGCACATGCATCCTGTGGCGTCCCAAAACAGCATTGGGGTCCTCCTGGGCCCACAGGTCATAAAAGCTGGGAGTGGAGTCTCGGGGCCGGCGAGGCTGGATCCAGCCCATCTTGATGGCGTGCACCATGCGAGACACCTGCACAGACAGCCTGAGTCAGGAAAGGCAGCACAATGGCCTTGCCCCAAGAACAGTGTGGCTTCCTACCTTTTCCTTCTCCACCAGGGATGGGATGAAGCTGCGCTTGTCAGCTGGGCGGTTGGTCACTGGGTGGATCATGACGTCCCCACTGAAAAAGTCCACGGCTGGCTGGGGAGGCAGGCACAGGTGTGTAAGTCAGGGCTCTGCTAGGATCCCCCAAGCCCCTAAAGACAGCAGTTTCTGCTTACCTCATAGGGGCTGAAGCGAACGTCCCCGAACTTTCCACTCTGCAGTCGCTGCACCAGAGCCACTTGCTCATCAGTCAACCGAAGGTCACGCCCTGTCATCCTGTCTTGTACTGTGCGCCTGAGGGGCGGGCAGTCAGAGGTTCCCTCTAGCCACCTCAGACCTAGAACCTACCCTGGGGGCCAACTCACCAATAGTCAGGATCATCCATCTTGTCCAAAAACTGGTCTAGCTCATCCCGGGTCCGAAGGGGCTTGTAGATACGTCTGCCATCCAGGTCATAGCCCACATGTGGAAAGTCGTCATACCACTCTAGGGGCACGTTGCCCACTGTGTTCCGGATATCCTATAGCCATGGCCTCACATCAGCACCTGTCCCACTGTGCCCATCTATTTAGGCCAACCTGGGGTACAAAGAGTGAAGAGACCAGCCTCGAGTACCCTGAGGTCAGTGTCTTCCTGATGCATGCCCCTTTCCTAGCCCTGGGGTCTGACGTGGCAAGGCGGCGGGTGCTGCTGCCACCACCCCCCCAGGCCCTCTGCGGCGCCAGAGCTGCACCTTCACATTTTCCACTGAAGTGATGCCAACCCAGCCTCCCCCCTCACTGGATTCCTTGGCCAGGACTCTGGGCAGCCACAGACAGGAATGACCTCATCGCCAGTGGGCTCCCTCCCCTGGCAGGGGCCTGAGGCAGAAGTGGGTAGTTACAAGACTGGAGACAAGGAAGATCCCACTCCACCCATTCTGCAGAGTCAGAAGCCACTACCTTCTCTACAGGTGGCCAAGGACTCCCCTCCCAACCTTCACTGGTCTTAAACCCTCCCCCTTGGGTAACCAGAGCAGCCACATTCCTGGACACACATTCCTGGTTTCAGACCCTGCCAGCCGCCACCCTCACTCACTCCCAGCCTGGGGACTGTTGCCCAGGCGGCTGCTTCCCACAAGGGGGGTGGAGGGGTGTGGCTGAGGACTGGATGCTGGAGGCCCCTCTGCAACAGGAGAGACCCCTTGGACTGGCCCCTCCAGCAGGTCCACCCCAGAGACCCCACACGGCCTCAAAAATGTCCTTTCCAAGGGAGAGGGGGGGTCTCCAGCATCTTCCAACCTATACAGCCAACCCCAAACTGGAGACTTCTGGGAGGAACAGGTCTTATTCATTTGCACACCGGTATTGTGGCCAAGTAGGAGGCCCCAGGAGCACATAGCAGGAGAATGGGGACTGCCCTACTCCCAAGAGTGGTGGGCAGGAATGAGCTGGGACAGGGGAGAGGGTTCTAACAGTAGGGATAGCTAATACAGACCTGGAGAGGCCAAGTGCAGGACAGACGAACTATGCCACCCCCACAAACCTTTGGCCTGCAGCTGCTGGAGCAATTTCCAGCCTCACACATCGGGCACAGGACTCCCCAGAGTACCAGAAGGAGCAGCCCGAGTAGAGAGCCTGCCTGTGGGTCTGGTTCACGTTCCTTTACGCTGTGGGGAGGGGTCCACACCAGAGTAGAGCGATGCTCCGGACGATCCGCAGGGCTCCGCTCACTCGGCCTGCGGGCCGGCGGAGGCGGGCGGGGGAGGGGCCGGCCGCTATAAAGGCAAGGCTCGCGGCCCCGCTCCAGCCCGGACGCACGTGTGCGCGCGGGCGCCCGGCAGCCGCCACCGCCACCGCTGGGCGCAGCCGACTCCGCGCCGCGCCCGGCCCGCGGCCCGTGGCGGCCGCAGGAGGCGGCATGAGCAGCGCACGGCGGAGCTGACGCCGGTCCCAGCCATCTCTTTCGCCATGTTGCGCTCGGCGCCGCCAGGCCGCTACCTGTACCCCGAAGTGAGCCCGCTGTCGGAGGATGAAGACCGCGGCAGCGAGAGCTCGGGCTCGGACGAAAAGCCCTGCCGCGTGCACGCTGCGCGCTGCAGCTTGCAGGGCGCTAGGCGGCGGGCCGGGGGCAGGCGAGCCGGGGCTGGCGGGGGACCTGGGGGTCGGCCAGGCCGCGAACCCCGGCAGCGACACACAGCAAACGCGCGCGAGCGGGACCGAACCAACAGCGTGAACACGGCCTTCACGGCACTGCGCACGCTCATCCCCACGGAGCCAGCGGACCGCAAGCTCTCCAAGATTGAGACGCTCCGCCTGGCTTCCAGCTACATTTCGCACCTGGGCAACGTGCTGTTGATGGGCGAGGCCTGCGGCGACGGGCAGCCATGCCATGCGGGGCCCGCCTTCTTCCACGCAGCTCGCGCGGGCAGCCCCCCACCGCCACCCCCATCACGCGATGGCGAGAACGCACAACCCAAGCAGATCTGCACCTTCTGTCTCAGCAACCAGAGGAAGCTGGTGAGCGAGGGCCATGAGCGCCCAGAGAGGGCCAGGTGCTGGGCGGTTCTCCTCATCATTCCATGTTGGGGACACCTGCTGCCCAAGCTGGGCCCCAGTAAAGAGGGTCAAGTAGAAGCTGTCCCTGGGGAGGGGAGTGTGGGGCCCCCTCTTGGAGCCTCTTCCCCAGCACATGGGCTACCCCTGCAGTGGGTCACCAGAACCTATAAAAATGGGGCCAGGGCCCAAGGGTGGCCAGAAAGTGCCATGAGGGAGCAAAGGTCCTGAAGGAAGGCAGAGGCATCATCCTGGCAGAAGTTGGGGGACAGCATCAAGGGCACCTCCAGCTGCTCTGCTCAACAAGTTGAAAAAGCAGTGAGTGAGTTCAGGATGTACAAGGTTCGCCATACAGATTGCCTGGAGTGACAGGCAAAGAGGGTCCCTGGGGTCCACTGCCACTACCCCAAGGCTTTTGGGGCACCTGCTGACCCTCCCTGGACCTGCTCAGACACTACAGTAGGTGAAGCTGCTGGCCTGCTGTGATTTACAGCTTGGGCTATGTTTGGTGGCACCGGAAAAGAAGGGTGAACAGGGAGAAAATACAACAGCTTTTCCCAATCCCCATTTCCTCTCCAGACAGCACGCGGGAGCTCCTGGGGCCTGAACATCTGGGATATTTAATTTTACAGTTTTGGCTATGTAGCAGTTTATTCCCCTCCCCAAAATGCATGGGGGCGCTTAGAGCCTAAAAGGGGGGTACCTCAGGGTTGGCCACCTGGTACAGCACCTTGTGTGAGCCAGAGAGGCCACGATTGGCACTGGGCAACACCAGGTCACTGCCCAGGCCCTGACAACACTCCTTCCTTCTGCAGAGCAAAGACCGAGACAGAAAGACTGCGATTCGAAGTTAGGAGGAGGGCCCAAGCAGCCAAGAGGCGGATGCCACTAGGGACGGTGGATGCCACTGGGACCCATACAGAACCCCACCTCGAACATGACCTGTGCACAGGCCCTCAGAGAGCATGCCCACTGGGCCAGACCCGCCCCTGGCTGTGAGCAGGGCCAAAGGACAGACAGATGAAGAAACAGAGGAACAGTCAAGGCAAAGGCTTGACTCTGAATAGCTGAGCACTTGCCTAAGCCCACCGGAACTTTCCATGCTAGCTCCCTAACTGGGCTAAGAGTTGGCATTTTGTGTCTTTGATATAATATAAAGTCTGGAAATTTTGGATAATTAAAAATGGAACAGTATCTTTCAAATACCAGGGAAACTGTCCTCTTGGAAGGTTTTGAACTTTCCACGCAACCTCCAGCCTGCACTCCCACCCCACACCCCATCCTCCTGGCTTGGGGCACCCTAGGTCTCTGAAAAGGTCCCCTCCTTCTGGGGCTAGAGCAAGGCCAGAGGAGCAAAGGCAGGCCTTGCACTCATCAAGAACCTTCTGTTTGGGAACTGGGGTAAGGACTATAAGTACAGGCAAGGGGAGGCACTGCAGGGCAGGAAGAGTTGGGGCAAGACCACCACTCACAGTAGAGGTCTTACGGGGAGCAGAGCAGTCTTACTCCCTGCCGCCCTCTGGCCCAGTGTGGACAGGTGGTACCACCCAGCAAAGTGGAGTCCCAGGCCTGACTAAGTGCTAGCCACTAAGTGTCCCCACTGGGGCCCACCTGCGCCCAAAAGAGCTGAGGGTCTTGGGCTGCTAGGGCCTCTATGAGCTGTCCTGAGAGGAAGGCCCCATCTTGCCTAGACCCAGCTGCACATTGAGAGAAAGTTCCTGGCATCCATGATCGTGTCCTCCCCTACAGACTCCATGGCCCCAGGGAGGTGGATTTAGGCCCCCATCAGGAACCATGCACAGCTGGCTGACCGTTAAAATCCTGCAGGTGACAATTAGTTTAATGGTAGAGCTCTGGGGGCATAGCAGAGGCCAGGCGGCTCCATGCAGTTCCCCCAACACAGGGAGGGGGCCCAGGGCACCAGGTGTGGGTGGCTGAGTGGCCCCAGGCCTCTCCTTGGATCCCTGGCCCTCCTTGCCCTCAGAACAGGCAGTGCTGCATCTTGGCCTGCGGGAGACCAGGTGCTGACATCCCCCATGGGTACTCTCACAGGGCATGGCCAGAGCTGCCCCACTCTGTGCACAAATGGGCCCCAGGGAACTGTGGGGCAGGAAGCAGTGGTATAATTTTGGAGGAAATTCTCAAAGCCAGAGCCATTAAGGGGGGGGGGGGGGCTGTGTCCGATCTGATAGAAATATAACAGGATAAAAAGTCACAGCGGCAGGTTTCGTTCAGAGAAACCCAACCCCAAATTTCCTCCCCTTAATCCTACAGGAGCCCACAGCTGGCCAGAGGGGGAGGAGTGGGTACAGTTATTGCAGAAATCCCTGCCCAGGGAAGCCAGGACTGGGGCTCAGGGTTGCAGCTAGGGGCTGAAGGAGAAACCCCATGTCAGCTGCCCCTTACCCACAGGCCTCATCTCCAGGCCTGGTGCCAGGCAGGCATGCAAACCCCCATACAAACCTGGGCACCTACCTCAGTGGTTAGAGTGGTCAGGCCAGTGGTCAGGGACAATCCACAGAGGAACTCCTCAAAAAGCAAGGGGTGGACACCCCCCTCTGTGTGCAGGTACTACATGACTTGGTGACCAGCCCTGGGGGACACTGCCTAAGCTAAAGCCCAGCTCAAGAGGAAAGCCATCTGGGAAAGCAGGGAAGCTCAGAAGCAGGCATCAGGGACTGGGCAATGCTAAACAGGAGACTGGGGTATCCAACAGGGCCAGATAAGGGAACAGACACGAAGGCCTTGGGGCTAGAAGGATCCCCAGGGATCTCACAGTCAGGGTGCGGCACGTGCCCAGCCAAGGCCTCTGCTGAGGGGCCTGACTCGACAGCGGCTGCAGCTTGGCCAGCCTCAGGTCTGGGCAGCCAGCCCAGCCACTCCCCAAGCTGCACCGGTAGCAGCAGCCTAGGGCCTGGCCCAACAGCCAGCAGCAGAAGGGGAGGGGTAAGGAGAAACACTCCGTCACCCTCCACTGCTCCAGATTCAAACCAGACCGGGGGTGGTGTGGGTCGGCCCCAGCCCATGGCCCCACGCAAGTCCATGCAGCTGAGAGCCAAAGGCCAAGGGATGGCAGGTGCTCCCTGCCCACCACAGCCCCCGGCTGTCTTTCCTGAGTCCAGCCTCACCCACCACCAAGCTGGAGAACTTCAGGACAAAGACCCAGGGCTCCCTCTGCATGTGCCCCACAGAGGCAGCTGGAAGGAAAGGGGGGCCCTGGGCCAGCAGCCACCCCTGTGAGCCAAGCTGGGTTGGAAAAGCTGGGCTCAGCCTCAGCTGTCAGCTCCCTGTCCCCAGCCTGGGGAATGAGCCGCTGGCGGCACCACATGATTCATCACTAGGCCGCCTGCACCCCAAGCCAGCCACCCCCGCCCTGCTCAACACCTGTGGGCTGCCAGGAAACACATGTGACCCCTCCAGGTCAGGCACTGCACTCTAAGACCTAGGCTAGACGGGACAAAGACAAAGAGAGACCTAGGACCTGTGCTTTCCTGGGGGCCACTCAGCCCCAAAACAAGCCTGTGAGATGAGGCCAGGCAGGGGTCCCCTGCCTCCAGAATGCACCGGACACAGCATGGACACCGGAGCAACGTGTCCATGTGCCGGCTGGGACTTTTCCGCTCTCAATGAAGCCCTTGCCCCTCCCCCTCCCCAAAGTGGCTGCAGCTGTCAGGACCGCAGATTGGAACTGCAGGTATGGAGCTGGCCCGCTGCCCACCTCCCTCCCGTGTCTGTCTGCGAGAGAGGAAGCCGGCCCACCTCTGGAATCCTTCACTCTCTCCTCGTTCTCTTCTCCCACCTGTCCCCCGGGAGCGTGGGGTCAGCCGCTGCTCAGTCTCTCTCCCCAGCCCCTCTCCGATTACAATGCGGGTAGTGTTCAGCATTCACTCAGCTCCCCTGCACAGCGGCCTAGCCGCCTGTCTCAGAACTCTTGAGGCCTTCCTGTGCGCTGCCACCACCTCCCCTCCTGGGGAGTCTTATCTCTGTCAAAGTGCTCAGACCCAGTGGCTGCTCTAGGCTCACCTGCTGCCCTGACCCTACCACAGACGGTTGTAGGGGATGCTGACACCAGAGCCTTCACTAGAGCCTGCCTAGATGACAGATCAGAGGAAGGCAACCTTTTTCTACAAGAGTTCAAGCTGGTCAAGGGACTCCATCAAGGACTGAAGGCCTGGCAGAAGAAGCTGCCTTCTGGCCCATGGTCAGATTGCCTGTCTTCCACTCTTCTGCAGATCTGTCTCTCATGAACCTGGTAGAACCTGCTACTGAGCCCCAGGCACCTGTGGGCCCACCCACCCAGCCCCCTGCTAGCCCTCTGCCAGCCCTCCATATCTGGAGGGCCATGAGCCACTCCCTACAGGATCACAGGTGTGGAGAGGGCACCGTCTGAAAGCTGTTTAAATGCAGCTTGCCTGGCCCTCTATCCTGATGGGGGACATAGGCTCAAGCTAGTTTACATCTCTATGAGCTGAGGAGCAAAGACCTATTCTGAGCCCCATTATTCAGAGACACAGCTGCTGCTTCAATTTGGTGGTGGTGATAGGGGATGATCTGGTGCTCCACACCAAATCAACAACCCCCCTCCTGGCCCCCAACTCAAGCACCTCCAAAATCTAGTTCAAAACGATTCTCCCAGCACTGAGCACTGCTCTCAGACATGGACACACCAACTATGGCTCCTGTCCCCAGAAAGGCTGCCTGGTTCTCTGCGGCTAATCTTATTGAGGTGTCCATACTGTCCCCCTACCCTCCAGTGCCACCCCTCATGCCACAGGCTTGCTCTCCAGTACAGGAAAGACTCCCAGGTGTCTACAGCCAAGCGAACTGCCCCAAGGGCTGGCAGGAAGGCAGGGCTGCACCATCCATATGCCCCAGCAAGAGAGGATGCAGCTCTAAAGAATCCAACCTTTGCCTTCGAGCTACTGCCAGGATGCTGTTTAGAGTATTCCATCTCCTGTAAGGGGACAGCTGGCCCTCTCCTACTGGCTCCTATCTGTCCCCACCAAGGGCAAGCCTCTACTAGCTAAGATATTTAATGCAAAGGGCAGCTCACAGGAAGCACAGGTCTATTGTAAGGAACAGTGTTGAGGGTCTCTCTGCCCATAGAACACACTACCCGTTCCCTGTGGCCACTGGCAAGAGATCTTGGTCAGCGGGTTGGGCACACCACTCAAAGCAAAGGACCAGACACTAAAGTTCAGTGCAGGCAAAGCCCTGCTCAGGACAGCACTGGCTTTGGTGGACAGTCGCCAAGCAGTCTGCAGCTCGGGTGCCCTCTTGCACAGAGAAAAGAGGGCCACTGCTTGTGAGCTGGAAACCTGAGCCTGCTGCTCCAGCTGCCAGCAGCAATGCAAGCGGCAGGCAGTGAACGCTCACGGGGCGGTGGCCAGGACACGAGCGGGTGGGGGCGGCCCCGGAGGAGTGGAAGCCGCCAGCACTGGAGGCAGCTGCCGGTTCAGTAGCTGGGAGAAGCCATTAATGGTGTTTGGCGAGAGAGCAGAGGGGATCGCAGGCGCTCTGGATGTAGACAAGCTGAGATATGTCCCTGTGGGATCCTGAGGTACAGCCCAAACAGGCTGAGGGGGTAGCCAGGGCTATAGCCCAACCCTTACCTCAGCCCACCCCACCTGAGGTCTCAAGGAAAGGGTCACATATCCAGTGCCCCAAGGACTATTGGGGAGGGCAGGTCTTCCAGCTTCTCTCAGCCAGAGATCATGGCCTCCAATCAAGTCCCTCATCCAGAGCAGCAGACCTGCTGGACAGATGAGGTAAAGGCAGGCCTCAGTTTCCCCCAGTTTTCTGCCTGATACAGAGGAGGGGCTGAGTGGGCTGATGGACCACCACTTTCTCCACATCCCCTGCCAGGGGTCCCAATAGCTGGATGAAATCACATCTAGGAAACCTGGTGCTGTGGGGAGGAGTGTGGTGGCCATAGGGGACTCCCCTACTCCAGGGCAGCCCCGTAGTTCATTCAGGGGGTTCCCTCCCTCCTTGCTCAGCTCACACTCCAAGCCAAGGCTGTGAACCTGGGGGAGACGACCTGGAAGCCAAGTCAGAATCAGTGCCCCAGTGAAGGGCCACTCAGTTTAAGAAAGTCAAGGGTACAGGATAACCCTAAAGCCAAATGTCAGGTAACAGAGGGCCCAGAAGCCTCCACATCTCCAGTCTAAGCCCTGACTCCAGACCCACTCTAGGGGCAGGAA